GAGGAACACCACTTCACCTCACCTGCTTTGTTTGGCGCTGGTGCTGTTGCTGGTGCTGGACGACTAGAAGCAAGTGAGTAGCTTGCCCGTGGTGCTGCAGCTGTAAGGAAGGCTTCGATTTGAATGCCTCGGTGTAAGCCAGTTGGGAGGGTGGCAGCTACTCCACAAACCCAAGCAGAGAGTGTGTGGTTCGAGTGAAGGAATGCCATGCCATGCAATGCCATGCGCTATGCGATGGGAAGGGGCAGCAACTCTGTCTCTCTCTCCTCTCTTCACCGTCACTCGTCGATAGAGTGAGTACAAGGTGCCCGCCAAGGTCCCTTGTGGCAGCAGTGGCAGCACTAGCAGCGGCAGTTCATAATCGATGCTCGCTCCGCGATGCTATGCAATGCGAGGCGTCGTGCTGCGTTGCGCTGCGCTGCTGGGCTTGGCCTGCCAAACTGGGCTTAAGAGCGGGCGATTGGAGGCGGGAGCCTCGGCATCTGGCGAAGCTCGTGCGCTTTGCGAGTGCGCCAGCTCTGGGCTGGTTTTAGCTGCGTGTTCGATTCGGGATGGGTGGGTAACGAGTCGCAGGAGTTTCCCTTGCGATGGACGTGTTTGCGAGTTGCGATTCGCTGCTCGCCAGCGGGGTTGGACCTTGTTCCTGATCCTTCTTCCCTGCCCCTGTCCCTGTCAAGAAGCCTTGCCCCATGTCTTGGACGTCCAGACGACTGGTTCTGCTGGAAACGAACGTCCCGCTCGCTTTCTCTCTCTCTTTCTCTCTGTGCGGTGAAGGTACGGACCGCAACGCGTCACATAGTCCTGCGCCTTTGGTGTTTCCGATGAACTTTGGAAACCAGACGAGTTGCCGAGGTGTTTGGTTGGCCTTCTTTTCTCGGGTCGTTATGGTCCTTCCATTGTTCACGGTCCACGGTGTGGCTGTTGTCCCACTGTCCAACGCAGCTAGCTAGTCGTAGCTGTGGCACATCAACAGCCTGGCCAACGTCTCGCAACTCCTGGAGGGATGTTGCTTATTTCAGCAACGGCGAGCGGCCCGATGCGACAGGGACCTCGTGTGTGTGTGAAAGTGTGTACTGCGGTATGTATGTGTGGTGTGTGTGGTGTTGCGTCTGCTCATCCCTCGAAATGGCCCGAGGATGGATGAAGGACGAGCAGAAGAAATGTTTAGGCATCCATCCCTAGCCCATCGTTGACGCGAAGTCTTGACTCGAACGATACAATGTGTAGCCGAGGACCATTCATCCATCTGTGTCGTGGGAATGACAAGCGCGGCGACAAGATCGACACCGACGCTGGTGAGCATTGCATCAGACCTGAATTACACGCCCGGAATCTTGAAGATGCAACGCTTTCCCGATTGAGTAACCACCCTTCCGAACTTGCGCGATGCCGACCTTCCAGAAAATGGCAGCGATTACGGCAGATTGGAGGGACGGTTGGGGGCAGCGCTCCTCGGCTGACGGTCAGGTCACTCAAGTCGGGGGGATCGGCGACACAGAAGCGAGGGCCGATTCCGCTTGCTCCTGCATATCAGGGTGGAGAGGGACCGGGTCACGGACTCCGGTGCGCCGACGGAGTTCGCGTAACTGTCCGCAGTGCGTATTTGTAGGACGAGATAAAGATCTGCTCTTTCGTTGCGTGCGTAACGCCCCGTATTCCCTTGCGCGCCAATTTTTCTGGTGGTTTGCAACCTCTCCTGGCTTGTAGAGATCAGATGCAACTGATGAGAAAGAGATAATGTATTGCGGTAAGTAATTTCCGATATGTACGGATACGGATCCTGCACTTCCATGTCGTTCGCATCGTGCCGCTTGTGGCAGGATATGCAGGGACAGCGTGCCCTTCTCGAAGGTTGTTTCGTCGTTGTCGGTTTATCCGCTGCCCAGGATGCCTCGTCTAAGACGACAAACCAAGGCAGCCGAAGTGAACCGACTTGTCAAGTTCCGGGTTTGCCTTGATAGTGCCTAGTGACATTTGATGTGATGCAGTGCCTAGGTGGGAGGCGACGAGTTAACGTTGTGGCTGTGCTGCCGTTGATTGCTCCGTACTGCTCTTGCCTTCCACCTTATCGTTATCCGATAATGCTTTATCTGCATGTGATCAGGACCAACGGCTGCGGGGGGGTAACGTGTCTAGCGCCAACCTAATTATGTAAGGCACCATCAATGGGTGGGTGAGTGGGCAGCTCTCAATTCCATGTACGTACCTCCGTACCTGAATAACCACGTCTCATTGCGTCGCGTTGTGTCGCTGACATCCGCACGCCGGCCAGATCACCACTTCGTCTCTCGTGCAGCTGTTTAGCACCGCGCAGCCTACCCTCATCGTCGCCACGAGCGGCCAATGCTGCCAAAATGCCGGTTCACGACGATGTAGGGAGCGCGGCTCCTGACGCTGCTGAGAAGACCACTTCCGTCCCGCCACCGTATCCCGATTCCCGTAAGGCTCCGCCCCCTGAGAAGCCCTCCGATGTCAGCCGCCGCTCTCTCGTCATTCTCTCCTTTTGGGCAATTGTGTTGTTTCTGGGACTGCCAATATGGTGGATGACTACGACCATTTATCGTGCAAATTTGCCCCTCTCTGGCATGGCCGACTGGGCAGATGGAAAGGTAGGGCACATATGAACGCTCCGAGGCCGCATCACGACGTTGAAACATGGCTGACAATCTTGATGTTAGGCCTGTCGCCCCGTCTTTCCCTTGCAAATCTCTGTGCAAGCAAACAACCTTCAGGAGCAGGAAGCACAGAACCTGCTTCGTCTCACCCAGCATGCCCTCGACGATCTCAACGACTTCTCAGGCCACCATCTTCGCCTGCAACTTGCCCCTCGCGATAGCCATATCTCGGCTTCCGAATACGACTCTCAAGTCGCCCTGACAATACGTCTCAGTCCCGGCGAGTCGACCACGGCGTCTCTGAACCCACACTCTCCAATTCTCGATATTACATACCCCTCGAATTCCATACCATCCCCGACGTCGTCCTCGTCCGCCCTTGCTTCGTACATTGCAAGTGAATTACGATCCACATATGCCGAAGAGCAAGCTATCATTTCGTATCTTCTGCTGGCCGCATCAGGAGCTACCGATGCGAAGCCACAGGGCGTATCACCGGAGGCCGCAGAGTCACTCGCTAAGCGCACAACCCGCTCACTTCGATACTCTCCAACCTATCACCTTAGCTTCTCCCTATTCACGAGCGGATCTGTGCCGAACACATGGGATGTAGAGGCGGCAATCCGGGACTACATGAAGCCCATGCTAGACGTCCTCAGTCCCATTCACAATTTTACTATCGACACCCAGGTTCAATTGTATGCTACGCCGGGCGCGCAGTCCCAAGTTCTCAGCAAGGACGACCTTGCCTCCTTTATCAACGCCGCCGAATGGCCCTTATCACCATCCATCGGCGGTGCCCCGACGGTGAACTTTCTCTTGTTCGTCGGGAACCAGACCATTGGATTGGATTCAGGATCCGAAACATCCCAGTCCTGGCTGATCCCGCAGTGGGGAACAGTCTATCTGTTGTCACTGCCGTCAACGACGTCACATGTATCGGCAGCTATACTCAAGCAGCCGATGCTGACATTTGCTGGCCACTTGTTATCTCTCCTAGGAACGCCCCAGTCGGGTTCCCTTCCGCTGCGACTTTCAACGCTCACCCGCATCCGCTCGGCAGATCTGCTGCTGCGAGCGTCGTCGACACTGGGATCCTTGGCTCGGCTGTCGCTAGCTCTGCCATCCATTTCAATCCCACGGAATGTGGCTGACGGAGTGGCCAAGACAATGCATCATCTGGAGCGTGCCTGTGCCAGCTTGGGTGGCCCTGAAGGTCTTGAGCACGCCAGAATTGCCGAGGCTGAGGCGGAACGAGCCTTTTTTGAGAAAAGTATGGTCGGGCAGCTTTACTTCCCGGACGAGCACAAGATTGCCGTTTATCTGCCACTCCTCGGGCCGGTGGGCGTCCCGTTGGTCATGGGTCTCTTGAACGAGATTAAGGCGTGGAGAAAGAGGAGGCGAGAAAGAGCTGAGGCCGAGGCCAATAAGAAAAAGTTATAATAGGATAAGTCGATACCACCAATGAACTTGTTATGTCAGCTGGAGTTGAATCGCTATGCTATTTGATCATTTCTGCTGCTGCACTCCAAACGACAGCACAGCTGCTGTGTCAATCGCTTTGTCGCTTTATGAGCTTATCAACATGCCGTTGTTGTTCAAAGATTGGCATCTGTTCTTAGCTTTTTGCAGACGAGAAGATGACGTATGGGCAAGCTACCATAAACTTCTGGGTCCTCTGCGACCGCAACCTTGCCCGGGGTCACATCATGTTCCCGTTCAATCTCGAGGTGAGCTCCGATAGCTTGCTCTAGTGGGGCATTTTCGTCGGTCAATGTCGGTGAGCTGAACCGGGCCAAGGTGAGGTTGCATGGAGGGGCGCAGAGTGCCAGGTACGTAATCGCTGTGAAGATCCTGGTGCTCCAGCCCCTGCGCTCCTACGCCACCACGAAGCTTGCTTGCTCGCCTTGCATGCGAGGGGCTGCTGTGCCTGCCCAACGTCCCACGCTTCCCGCCATCCCGTCCCTCCCCGTCGGTGAATATTCGCAGGGCCCTCTCGTGCGTCAATCATTGGGCGCAGGGACCTGATCACAAGAACATTTCATCCCGTCTGGAGGACCTACCCACGTCTTTCGTCTCTCCCTCCACCATTTGACCACAATCCTTACGCTCCTCCGCCCGGCAGTCCCGATTGATCGAATTCTGAGTGCGAACCCTCTGCCAAAACCCAGACTGTTGGAGCCTACTGTGCTACCCCCACCGCGTCGCCGACGATTCAAGCAATGTTTTCAGTATGAAGATCAGAAGATGCTTCCCGAACCAACATTGAGCTTCACGCTCCCCAGCCTCCATGACGACACTGTTCTCGACTGCCGAGTCTATCATTGCCAAGCTTTGAGCCCTTCCGCCTCGAATACGTCACCATGGAGACGGCACGCTGCGATCATGGCCCATCCGTACGCGCCTTTGGGAGGATGCTACGACGACCCGATTGTTGACATCGTCGCGGGCACTTTGCTACGCCACGGGTTTCTTGTTGGAACCTTCAATTTCAGGTCAGAGATGCTGCACTGGTTTTTGGGAGACCTTTGAGGAAAACAAAGTGTTGCTGACAGAATTTCGGAACAGAGGTGCCTCGGGCTCGGCAGGGCGCACTTCATGGACGGCGAAGCCGGAACGCAGCGACTACATGTCGTTTATCGGGTTTATGGTCTACTACATGCACTTCCTCGATCCGTTCGGTCCTCGCATATCACGGTCGCCGTCAACAGCCCGAGCCCCTTCGCCCCCGGATGCGCCGCCAGGGTCGTCTCCGTCGGATCAGCCGGTTCTCCTCCTCGGCGGTTACTCTTACGGCGCAATGATTACGACACAGATACCGCCAATTGCACACATTCTTGCACAGTTCAAGGCACCAGCAGTGGGTTCGGCGGCGGCCGATATACGACTACGAGCCCAGCATCTGGCTGAACAGCAGAATGTCATCTTGGCCAGCGCCAGGGCGGCCCAGTCTACGTCGCCCCGTAAGAAATATCTAGGCATGCGGGTCGGCGGGGATGAGGATACCCAGCGCAAAAGCCACGATTCGAGGAGGTCGTTTTCCATGGATGCGGAGGACAAGATCCGACGAGGTGTGAACGAGCTGCTAGCAAAAACAAAACGGCACCACCATCACCTCCACCACAGGGGCGGCGACGTTGTTCCCGAGGAAAAAGAGGACGCCGCCCCAGTTGCTGCCTCCGAGCAGCAGAATACCCCTCTCGTGTTAGATGAGGTCGGGGGTTTGACGCAGGTGCGACCGGCGTACCTGCTCGTGTCCCCACTGCAAGGAGTGATCACTCACTTGGCGACGATGTCGTTTCTTCCCACGTCTGCAGGACGAGGACTGTTTGCGAAAGCTTCGACAAGATCCCGGGAGCAGGGGGCGCCAACTTATACTTCTGACCACCGGCAGCTGAGCGAAACCAAGCTGGTAGAAAACCAGACGCTGGCATTGTTCGGCGACAAAGACGGTTTCGTGCCCGTAGCCAAGCTTAGAAACTGGGTAGAAAGGTTAGAAAGCGTTGAACGCTCACGATTTCATGGCGAAGAAGTCGCGACGGCGGGCCACTTTTGGACAGAGGGAAAGGTCGCGTCAGTCCTTCGCGACAAGGTCGCCGAGTTCGCTGCTCTCCTCGTACAGCAGGAGAGCGTGGACACATCAACAGGCGTGCCTTGAGGGGGCGCTGTTGGCTCATAATGCACGATACGGTCTGAGTCAAGCAAGATGAGTCTGAGAATCTAATGATGTGCACGCTGCCGAAGACACCGGAGCTGCCACCGAAGACAAGATCGGCGTTAGAGAGCATTGAGGTCGGAAAAGGTTACGGATTAGAGTCGGGAAAGGATAATGATGACGTACAATATTGTAACGTGTTCCAGAGTCTAGTGAACACTCTGTTCGATGACACGGTAGGCGTGCAACACTCGTCAAGCCGAGTCAGGCGCCGCTGGCAACGGGGAGAAGCAAGAGGAAATGGAGACGGGAGCACCATGCTTGGGGATAATTCCGGATCTAGATTTTTCGATGGGGCTTGGTGGCAGGGAAATAACGTGCGTCCGCAGGCAGGATTACACACAGTAGGTTAATCGGGGCCCAGGAAAAAAAGTCACCCAAGGATCAGTAGTCAGAGAATGAATGGCATGAGACACTCCAGTGGGCATTTTATGAGCGTCTGATTCATGAGGCAGGGAAGTCAAGCTTAAGTTGCAGCCATACAGACGGAGTTACGGGTGATTGGTCGCGTTGGAGCTGGTCGAGACGTGAGCCTAGCAGATGGGCTTTGGAGACTTCAAACAACGGCGGGCAAAGGTTGAAAGGGGTGTGACAGGCAGGCCGTTGAAAACGCGGTCTCCGCAACGACAAAGACGTCGAGTGGTAGCCATACAGACCGACGCTCGCAACTTGCGCATAGTATGTGTAGGTATTGACCTCCAAAATGGGAAGAGGCAGGTGACCGACTGAGCTGATGCTCAAGATTAGGTAAAAAGTGGAAGATTGGATGGAGAGCGGAGAGTTCGCCGAACGGCCCTATCCTGGCTTGTGACATCCGAGACGGTGAGACGGTGAGACGGTTGGTTGGCCGCCTGGCTGCCTGTTGGTCGAGCTTTAGGACGAGCAGCATCAAGATGTAGTCTATTTTCAGAGAGTGCAGCAGTGGAGATGGCAACTGAAGCTGTCTCAGCAAGTTCCCCAGCGGTTCATAACCGGCTGAGATATAGCACTTGTCCAAGACACGGCGTCATGTGGCTCCCCGGCGGAACGGTTGGGGCGGAGGGTGAGTGAATTCGTGTGGGTGGTGGGTGGTGGGTGGTGGGTGAGAGAATGAATGTGAAGTCTTCCCCGTCTTTCTCCAAAGTCGTTGGTGTGTCTGGGTGGGTGGGTGTGGTGCGGCAGACATTGATTGGACAACGGTTAATGGCAACGATGCATTGCGCTCGCTGGAAGATGGTCTCAGCCCCCCCTCTCGAAGCGGAGGACGCAGAGCTGCGGTGCTGCCCCAGGATTCCCAGAATCTGGGGGGGGGTCATCTGGCCTGGTTGGGGCCCCCCTTTCCCCCGCCTCCTATTCGCCCTTCGTCCTCTGGCAGGTTCGGTCCAGTTTCCAGACAGGTAGATCAGCGCAGTGCTTATGCTTGTGTATGTGTTGGGTGAGGTAAGGTAAGGTGCCTTAAGGTAGGTAATTGACGAGAAAAGGGCCAATCGGTTGCTGTCGAGTTGCCCATTACGTCTGCTGTGACACGGTGACACTGGCACGTGGGGTCCTGATCGCTACGTACCCCGCCTCTGGCCAACACACAGCGAAGTCTTTCCGTTGTGCTTCCGCGGAATGGAAAACAGAAATCGAAAAAGCCCATGTCTGCCCTGCACACATTTTAGGTACCGGGCTTGATGTCTGTTCCTCCTGATGCCTGCCTTTCTGCTGCTCCTGTGTCTTTACGTTGGATGCTCGCTTTCCAGGTCGCCTGCGTACTTTCCTTTCCGTGTGAATGAATAGGTACCTTACCAAGGGCAGATACAGTGCACCCGCGCTACCACATCCACCCGCATCGAGGGGGACTCAGCGCATTCGGGGTCCCTGTGGAGGATTTTGTGGAGGTTTCTGTGGGGGAAGACGCTTGGGGTGGACTGGACGGCCCCACTGTTGTATCTTGCATTGCACCGGATTCACATTCCATCCACCCACCTACCCACCCACCAACCCTCTGGCGGTCACAGTCCCCGTCTGGGGGCCCCTGCAGGTGTCATCACCACACCCATCGTCGCTGTCCTTCCTTGGCCTTCGCTTTCCACCAACATTTCCGTCTCTCGCTGACGATATTCTTCGAGCCCTTCTTCATCTTCTCCTCCCCTGGCCCTCCGCCGCTGAACAGAAGTACTACAGTATTTACAGAATTGACGACCTACGCAATATCTTTCTCCCTTCGAACCATTGTCTTTCTCTCTCACACACACACACATACATCTCTCGTTGTTCCCTCTTACCGCCGTCTCTCGCCCGCCGCACTGCGAATCCCGTCCGTCGAGTCCGTCGCTTCATCTCGTCCCCTCTGCTCCAACCGCCTCCGCTCCTCTGCCAAACCATCGTCCGCCTTTTGCGCCCGCCTGTTCTTCCTTTCCCCTTCTCGGCCGACGCTCTCTCCCTCATAGGGCAGGCTGATTTGCTCCGCAATCCCGCCCCAACCTTCGCTCCAAGTACACCCCGTCGTACTCTGTACCCGTTTGTCCGGTCATCTGCTCCCCAGAGATCTGCGGCCTTTCCATGTCTAGTCTGTCCTGACATGATCTGACTGTCCCTTCGACTCGACACGCCAAAATACTCTCTTGTTCGCTGCCTACTTCCTAGAACTGCATCACCGACACGTCTTGGACGCCCTGACGACACCTCCTACACGTCTGTCCTTCTTTACGCCAACCGCACCGCAGACCGACGACCCCATCTATTTGCGTCCTCTCCTCCACCGTCGGCTTTTCTTCCGTCACCTCCCCCAACTCCAGGGCACACGAAGCCGCACGCCGTCGCGACAATACACCGACGCGGGCATGCTCTGACCGCCCCGCTCCAAACAACCGCCCCAAAGCACATGTCAGAAGCCCGCTGCACCGATACGCTGCCAGGCTGTGATGCGATACGGGCGGCAACAGGGCTGCCTTTCGTCCGCCAGCTTTTGTCTTTCTCGAAGCTCCTTCTAGCCCAACCGAATCCCTCTCCTCTCGTCGTCTTGCTTTCCCCGTTACCATGAACGACGTTCTCATCAACCCCGTGCACCCTCTCCCGGCCATAAGGGTCAAATCCTCATCATCAGGCCCTACAGCCTCGCTCAAAACCGGCAGGTCGTCGTCGATTAAGAAACAGCCGCAGTCGCCGCCCCCCCGAAATGCCGCCATCGATTCCATATCCCGCGCCATCAGAGGCGCCAACAACCTTGTTCTGTCCTTGCGGGATGGTCTGTCTGAGCTCGAGCGGGAGAACAAGAGGAAACAGGAAGAGAGGAAGCAGATATTGTCTCTCCGCATGAAGAATGCAAGTACTGCCGACGCGACCACTGCGGAAACACCAAGAGGCTCTGCCCTTACTAACTAACCCTTTTGTCTAGGCCGAATCTCGCAAAGAATGGCAGGAAGCCGCCGAGGAACTTGATATACTCGAAGAGAACGACGTGTGGAAGGTGGACCCCTACGATGGCGACTACTACCCCGAGTTGATCGAGGCACGACTGAAAGAGCTCGACGATGCCCGAACAAATTGCGATACACGAGCCATGATGCACCTCGTTCGCACAGCATTGTGCAGAGACCTCGGTGGTATGGGGAATGTTGATCTATACAGACACTCCTACGTCGGCACCAAGAACCTCATCGAGCGCTATGTCGACTCGGCCATCCAGACTATTGACGCTCTCGTTGAAAAGAGCCAGTATGCATTACCCGAGGGCATGGGCCAGAGAGACATCTTGGAGAGCGTCCTGTTCGCTCGCCAAAGCTTTGGCCGAAGCGCGTTGCTGTTGAGCGGCGGAGGAACCCTGGGTATGTCCCATATAGGTGTTTTAAAGGCGCTCTTCGAGGTCAAGCTGCTGCCGCGCATCATATCGGGTGCCTCAGCTGGCTCCATCGTGTCTGCCGTCATCTGCACCCGAACCGACGAGGAGATTCCTCGTCTTGTTAGGGAGTTCCCGTACGGTGACCTCGCCGTCTTCGATGCCGAGGAGAACCCTGATGGAGTCTTTGACCATATGCGACGATTGCTCACCGAGGGGAGTTGGTCCGACATCAAGCACTTGACTCGTGTGATGCGCGGTTTGGTGGGAGACCTCACGTTCCAAGAAGCTTACAACCGCACACGGCGAGTCCTCAATATTTGCGTATCCACCGAGTCCATGTACGAACTACCACGCTTACTCAATTACATCACCGCTCCCAACGTCATGATTTGGTCGGCGGTGGCTGCTTCCTGCTCGGTGCCACTGGTCTTCAGCGCGGCTCCGTTGCTAGTCAAGAATCCTGATACCGGCGAGCATATGCCCTGGAACCCGACACCACAGAGATGGATTGATGGCTCCGTCGACAATGACCTACCCATGACGAGGCTTGCGGAAATGTTCAATGTGAATCACTTCATCGTCTCGCAGGTCAACCCACATGTCGTGCCCTTCTTGGCGCGTGATGATCAACTCGACCCTGATGACACCTCAGCGCGTAGAACCAGTCTCTCGCCCAGCAAACAGGAGCTTGATTGGGTATACACTCTGACGGCTCTGGCCAAGGATGAAGCGTTGCATCGCCTGCACTTTCTGGCCGAGATTGGCGTCTTTCCAACACTAGTCACGAAGCTTAAGAGTATTCTCAGCCAGAAATATTCTGGCGACATCAACATTCTACCAGAGATCAGTATCCACGACATACCAAAGATCCTTAGCAACCCGAGCCCCGATTTCATGTTACGGGCTTGCTTAATGGGCGAACGCGCAACGTGGCCGAAACTAAGTCGGATTCGTGACCGCTGCGCCATCGAACTCGCACTGGATCGAGCTGTTCATCGTCTACGCGCTCGTGTTGTGTTCTCTGACAGCCAAGTCGACTTGCGTCGACTCACCACTGGCATTGTCTTGCCGCCACCGTGGCCGAAGTCGACAGGGGGTGCGAAGATTGCACCATCCGGAACCCCAGCCCTTACTCTAGATACAGAGATCGTCAAGAACCGTCAGCGCCGATGCTCGGGCAGCAGTGTACAGCTCATGGCTCACCACCGACGCTTGATGGAGAACGTGCTCACTGATGAAGAGACAGAGGAAGAGGAGCGTCTAGAAATGCGGGCAAGACACGGCCACGGAAGCACGTCACCTGTTCTTGTTCGCAAGCCTCGTCTCAAGAGAGCAGCTAAGAGCCATTTTAACGTTTCTTTGGCACGGGGACCTCAGACTAGTCCCATAAACCCGGCTCATCTTGAGGCCGTCGAATTTGACTTTGGAAAACCCGTGACGCCTCCTTTGCACCGGTCACGACACTCGGAGGGGTCATTGGCACACAGCGCCAGCTTGGCCATGACACCAGCCAATGATGTAGACCCTCTCGCTCCGGGGTCGAGAGGGGAGGCGACATCCCACACCGAGCTAGAAACATCAGACTTGCATTCCTCCGACGGGGATGTCGAGTCTCATACCGACATGTCGGACCCAGAGCCATACAGCGATAGTCACTGGCTCCGCGAAGGGTCCGGTGAAATAGACCCAGCCCTCAAGGAAGGCAAAGACTTACCTGAGATTAGCAGCCGTGAAGTCATCGCGGTGAACGATTCCGTGGGAGGACTTTGGGATTGACTCGTAGACGGGAGGGTGAGCTCCTCGGACGAGGAAAATAAGACAGAGAAGGGAAATGAAGTTGCCAATCCAGCGGCCAATCATACGAAAGATGAAGATGATGTTTTGCGGTCCAATTGGATGAGCTGGGACTAGCCATCGTAGTCATTGAAGAGGCATTGCATGGGCGGTTGCATCATAAACGGAGCTCGGTTTAGGCTTTGGTCTTTGAAGTCCACACATGATAACGTTAGCATCGTTGGGAGTTTGATGTAGCATCTGCGGTACACAGCATTGTAGAAGTAGGCGGCTGGAGACGTGTCAAACGAACCATCCTGTCGCATAGATGATTATTTGGAATTCAAACCACTTCAAACCGTACGTATGCTCAGTTGTCTCTACCGGCAACCATCATTGTTCTCACAACACAACGGGTGTGTCGCAAGCGAATGTTGTGTTTTTACTTCAATCAGGAGCATCTTCATCCGACGCAGGGCGATACCTGCTGTTGTATGTCGACCGTCTCCGGATGATCTCCATTCAGATATGTGGCGGCGGCTAAACCATGGGATCCAGATTGAAGTCCAGAAAGAGCCAGTCAATCAAGGTCCAGAACACTGACTTCGACCTCTGTAGATTAAAAGCTGAAAGGCAAATTTGGTTCGTCGCTGCCGGGGTAATTTGCTGGATATATCTGCCCAATTAACCGACACCACCTCGCCAGCTACCACCATATCAGGCGGTCCTTCTTCCTTGCTGGAAGACCGCAGCGATAGCGACCCAGATTTGGCTGCATCCCGAGACTCTGATTCGTGCCATCATAAGCTCCGTGGATGTATAAGAGGAGCTGCCTTCCCCCCATCGACTTGCATACATCGTAAGTTGCCTCTAGCGACACACCCGTGGACATCGAGCCTTTCGGCAACAAAGCTAAAGATGATCCTAATTCCGCTACTCCTATCTTTGGCAGCTGCCGCTGCCTCCGCTGCCCGAATCAGATCCCTCACGCACAGCGGCCCTGGCTGTCCCCAAGATGCCCGAGTGACATGGTCGGGCGACCTCAGCGACCTGACGATCACGCTGCCCGACTTTAGCGAGTCTCTTGCGGCTGGCCAGATAACGAGCTGCCAGGTTCACTTGCTCGTCGACCAGGGTGAGTCCGGGAAGTCGCTGGTGCTGCAGGACGTCGTCGTCCGCGGCGGGCTCTACTTGAGCCCCAACTCCAAGGTTGACTTTTACACGACGGCATACTGGAGCGAGACAGCGTCTGATACGGTAAGTCGTGTTATCATCGCATGCTGGCATAATCTCTCTCAAGATTCTGATATATCGGTCTTCAAGGTAACGAAGCAGACGAGCACGTCCTCGGGGTCCAGCGCTGTTGTTCGGAATGTAGCTATCGCTCAGCGCCTGGGGTCATCCTCGCCATGCGTTGGCAGCGATGGTTATGTGGGCATTCTGAATGTTACTTTCCGGATCATCGCGCAGGAAGGCGGTAGAGTGGTGTTTGGTAGGGAGCGCGTTTCCTCAACGTCGCCTGTGACAGAGGCGCTTTCCTTTGCCTGGCAGAGCTGCTGAGTTAAGCTAGTATGGTATTGGTTTGACAACTTGGCGGGACTTTGGAAAGGAAACATGTTACAGGTGCCGTCGTTGTTGCTGGTGCCGTCGTTTGCCGCTGTTACTATGGATTATTATTATGACTTCTACTCCACAGCTCATATACCCCCATTGGTGGCCATAGAGGTTTCTCTAGCCCAGGCCATCCTGGCCCTCGAATATTTCCCCGTGAAAGTCATACGGCAGTCAACAAGGTGCGCCTCCAGGCGGCAAACTGCGAAGAAGAAAACTTGGAAGGGAAGAAAGACTACTCCACAGCAAATATAGCCGCGCAGGCATAGGAAAATCAGGTGGTCTCTTGATCTAGGTACCCAAAGAGCTAACCAGAAGTCAACTGCGGCTATTGGCAGCTCACTTTGAACAAGGCTAGTGCCTGGTATCACAATAGAATGCGGCTAAGAGAATTGTATCAAAGCAGTCTCTTCAGTATGCTTCACGGTGTCTACGTTACCTATGCTCGCACACGGGGCGCTAAATACATTTGAACTACGTCTGAGGCCGCTTTTGACTTCTCCTTTGAAGCATGGTTCAGATAGGATACGTAATCTTTATCATTCGAAAAGTTAGCACTTCCGATGCCACATCGCTGAGTAACACATCGCGCAAACGTAGAGGCTGAAGACCTGGCTATCTGATGATGAACCACATAAAGAAAATAGGCTGATCACCGCAGATCATCTCTAGCAAGCTGATCATCGAAACTAAGAGAACAAATATGATTGGGCAAGCCTGATCCAAGGTGCTTCTCAATCCAATCATCTGGCATGAACGCATACAGTGGTTCTGTTCGAAGCAAGCATCCGAAAATTCAATTCGGCGCTGTATTTCACATCCGTCATCTCAGTTTCCACCGGGTTTCTCGAAGGAGATCACAGCGTACTGGAAGGTCCCGTTCGCGTAACCTCGCCTCATCGCGCGGAAGGATTGCAGAAAGGCGATGCCGTCGCGGCCCTGGCTAAAGGCGAAAGCCCACAGAGAGGGGTTCTGGATGAGAGACCACGTAATATCCCTGAAGCACATGTTAGCGACCACAAGCCAAAGTGCAACACGGGCGGGTCTTTACCAGGTTCTTGCGACGTCTTTGCTAATGTCTTTGGGCCCATCAAGTAGATTGAGTCCGCCTTTCTTCGCCAGGTCGACATATCCCTGCTGCGTGCACATGGGTGGGAGTAGCATGCCGTCTGTGAGAATTTGGTTAGCTTGATTCGGACCAAGAGCTGTGTAGAGCACGTCCTCACCCTCAATTGGCTTGATGTCATTGTTGAAATCTGTCTCGCTCAGGTTCTCGGCCTTGAGCCAGTCCGCCAAGGCCAGCTTGCCGCCAGGTCTCAGAACTTTAAAAGTGTTCTCGAAGAAAAGCGCCTTGTTGGGGAAATGGCTGAGAGCCTCGCTGATCCAGACGGCGTCGAATGAGCCCCCCTGCCCAGCAAAAAAGTCACCCATCTTCTCTGCGTCAAGCTCGATGAAGCGCACCTTGCCTCGACCAAGCTTGATGAAGCCATCGACGTCGGACTCCACCTCGTTCTTTTCTTGGTCTTTTGCCGCCTCAGCCTTGGTGAGTCGGTTTGCGATCTCGACTTGCTTGGTCGAGATGGTGATGCCGGTCACGGTGCATCCCAACGTCGAGGCAAGGTATCGGGAGGTGCCGCCGATTCCGCACCCGACATCCAGAACTGTGCTGTTGTCGCCTACTTTGGAGATTTTGAGGAGAAGCTGGATGAGGTTGACCTGAGCTTCCTCCTTGGTCTGAGAATCGTTCTCCCAGTAGCCGTGGTGGATGTGCTCGCCCCTGCAAACAGGCAATGTTAGATAGTGTTCAACTTTGAAGTCATGTGTTGCTTCCGAGAGTCGCTGAGTAAAGCTGCTATGCAACCCGGGCGTCGGGCTGTGGAGCGAACTTGTGTTCGGACGAGAGGATGAACTCTCCAATTGCCAGGTATTCTGCGTCCCAGGCCAATACCAAGCACATCCTTCAAAATGGTCTCGCACGGAGGAAAGCGTACCAGAGGCTCAAATAATAATCACTCGCAAGATCATAGTGCAGCTTGATCCTGTCCTTCAAGACCTGCATCGTGGAGTGAGCCAAGCCGAGCGGGGTGTCATATTGCTGGCTGAGCGGCGTGGTAGAGCTGTCTACGACGGCGGCCATGTTGGAGACAGAGGCCGATGGGTATCAAATAGTAAGAGGACTGGGTTATGTATGAGTTCAATGGCTCACTTGCGACGACGATCCAGAAATAAGTGAGTTCAGCGACTGATCCAAATGACGGAGCGGATGAACAACTGGGAGATTCGGGAGCTTGGGTGCTGGGTGACGGGCCATTGGTCGTCCCGCGTCCCGCGGCCCGGCCTCGGTAAAGGTACTTGACCAGCCATACTACTTCGTCTCTTGAGGATGTACTCGTTTTAGGTAATTGAGGTGTGAGGACGTGACCTTACCTTACTCAACACGTTGGGTAGGTGAGGAGCAGAGAGACGTCAGCTTTCCGTTGGGAACCTCTGAAAGCTAAAACGCCCAACTGCATGAGGCAGGTGCACGTCCCCTCGTCCGTTGCTGCGCACAGATCAAGACACTGGACTTATCTAATCATTGCTTATGTCATTGGCGGATGCGTTAGGCAAGCCACAGTACCAGCCGCAGCACTAGCCACTTCCCAAAGCTTCGTCACGCTGGGCCAAGCCTTCCCTAAAAATAGCCGGCAAGTTCACCCGATCCCCAAGACCCAAGCCGGCCAACGCCGCCGCCGTGGGCAGCCCCAGCCACTCAGCACAGCGTCGGCACATGTCGCATGGTGGCAGTGCAGGCCAGTGCCGGACGCCGGGGTGGGGCCGTTCATCTGCCAAACCTTTTCTTCGTAAGGCGACAGCAGCGTCAGTGCAGCGCACTCTGGTCGCCAGCAAGGAAAAAAAAGGGGCCCGGGGAGAAACAGGGGCTGATTACGGGGGGGAATGCAGCCCAGCCTCAGCCCAGCCCGCGTCCGCCGCGTAATGCTTGTTTACGTATTTTTGCGTGTGCATTGCTTTGACGATCGCTTGTTTTAAAAGTCATTCAGTCCCTCCAGAAGAACTTGCTGAAGTCCTGTCTTTTTTCCTGTTTGCTCTCATTCAGCACTTGGCCTGCCAACCGCCGCTACTCGGTCGCTACAACACTCGTTCTCGCGCACACACCTACACTCGCTTTCTCACCAATCCGCCGAATCATGGCGCCAGTCAACCCAACGACGGCGCGACAAACGCTTGCTCGCGCCAGTAATGTCGCTAATATGGTGTGGAAAAGGGCAGCCATATTAGCTGCGCCAGAAGTCGCGCGCGCGACTCACCATGCATTGGCTCGCCGTGACTTGAGTGTCAACTCAACTCAGGGTGTCACCCTTGGTGTTATCGCAGCATACGTCGTCGCCATCGCCATTCTTTGGAACGTTCCGTATCTTCGAAATATTCTTTGGCCTTTTAAGATGCTCACCGTAGCGTTTCACGAGTTTGGCCACGCCATCACCGCGTGTTGTACCGGCGGTCGTGTTGTATCAATCACACTGGACCCCAACGAGTAAGTATCATCAAAAGCTTCATCATGAAAACATTGTTTTACTGACAAAAATATCAGAGGGGGGGCCACATTGATGAAGGGGTTCGTTTTATTTCATTTCTCATGAATTCTGCGATGCTGGCGATGTAATTTATGTTGTTGTTGCTGAAACTACGATCAACCATGACCTGAATCGACGGCGGGGCCTGAACGGACACGCTGCTTTCTTCATTCAAACGGTCCGCTGACTATTTTCATTCAGAGGTGTTCAGGCTATTACTTTGCCGGCTGGTTATCTCGGTTCGTCGCTCATCGGAGGTCTGCTCATCTTTTGCGGCTTCAACATCAACGCATCCAAGATCGCGTCCATGGTCCTCGGAGTCTGTTTCCTACTCACACTTTGGTGGGGAAAACGAGACTGGCTCACTATTCTGACGGTTCTTCTCGCTGTCGGGCTGCTTGTTGCTGCATGGTTCATTTCTCATGCTCAAGCTTTGAGATTCGTTGTTGTGAGTAGTGCCCGACGCGGACCAAACTTCCCAAAAGCTAACGCGGCAACAGCTCTTCCTCGGAGTAATGTCCGCTCTTTACTCTGCTTGGGATATCTGTGACGATCTCATCATGCGAAAAGTAAACAGCTCGGATGCAAGCGTTTTTGCCCAGCGATACGGCGGCTCATCTCGATGCTGGGGCCTTATTTGGGTCTTCATCAGTCTCTGCTTCATGGCAATCGCCATTGTAGCCGGCATCGCTGCCTTCCCCCAGAGCTTCTCTGAACAGGAGAGCGACTCGCAGAAGTTTTTGCCCACCTAAATCGGTTCAATGCGCAAAGGTGCCATATCACGAGGAAAAGGAGGAGGTATTCAAAGGGCTTCTACGAGCAAGCAACGATTTCCGCGACTCCGATCGGGTCTCAGAAATTACGGGTTCCGTCTGCAGAGGGCCTCCCACATTCCGGACTCCGAGACCTATCGCCGAGGTCCGGGCGGAGACAGGTACTGACGACCCGCCAGGGCCACCGTGGACAACGAGCCACGGCCGGCGGAGACTCAAAATTACAGAGGAAGAACAACTCAGGCTGAGAGTCGACGACGACAGCGAGGAGGAGGAGGACGACGACGACGGTGACGATGACGATGAAGATGATGACAACAGCGAAGACCGCTCATGACTCGGCCAATGGAAACAGCGGAGCGCTGGGAAAAGACGGAAGACTCGAGAACCAGACTATGATGAGACAAACATCAACGATGAAGCTCTTTCAGGAAACGGTTTCAATACGTATTTCAACACAGCAAAGTGGTTTGTTGTTATCCAGCGGAAATCCAGAGATTTTCTGTCTAGGATTAATAGCAGTTGTAATGCACAATTCAGCATGACGCTATTATCCAAAGGAACTACGCACAGTAATCGACTAATTGTCACCTCTTTCACAGTTTGACGTCGCGTGATAGTTTTACATGAAACTGACTAATAGTGTGGCCAAGTGAACAATGACAGACGAAGAATCGGACACCGAATACAAGCGATTGAAGAATTAGACACTGGAGAAGGCAACCAAGAATGGCGGACGAAACCAGTCGCTGGCTGGATTGAAACACAGATCGCAACGCCACTAGGAACACTCGGCCTCGTTCGAGAAAGAGCATTGTATCTTCATGTTGACAGTTGGGTGGTTGCCTGGAACACTTGTGGCAGGGAACTGGGCACCAGAAGCACAAAGAAGGAGCGGCTGAGAACATTGACGGAGAGAGCCCGCCCTTTCCTCCATTCTCGAAGGCAGGCACCTCCCCAGTCAGGTAACTCGTGCTTTCTCACTCTATCGTTGCCCCATCTGGCAACTTCCCGACTTGTCGCTCAAACCAACAGAACTCGACTGGACGTCGGACATCACTACTACTTCTTCTCAACCTCAATTGGCTCAACGCTTTGCTCCTTCCCAAGTAAACATACTCGCACCAGATCAGGCGCGCTTGGCTCACGATGTCTCGCCAGAAGCAACATGCCAAAATCCAGCCCCATGACCCGGGAAAGAAGGTCAGGCTCCGGGCCAAGAAGGCTCCTCAATCTGGAAAGCCTCACCGATCGACACCCTCTGCGCGTCCTGCGCCGGCTCCTCGAACTCCCGCTCGAGTGTCTCGTACTGTGCGGAAGAGTAACACAGCTGCTCGCTATCATTCCACTGACGACGGTATGCCTGTTTACATCTTTTCTGGGCAACAACGGCTGACGTGATCTTCGAATTCAGACAGCTCTGATGGACCATACGCTTCCATCAACAATGACAATGACTTAGCCGACTCCTCGTCAGACGACTCGGTAGTTGCGCTCGATGTCGATGATGACGAGGTTGCCAGTATCCAGTCCCAGGGAAACCGTTACAATACTACGTCTTCGCGTCAGACCACCGCCCAGATACGCCCCCGATCCTCCGCATTCGATCGCCAAACAGCAACGACTAGTCCATTCAGACCTACCGCAGCAACCCAAGTCCGCCTGCAAATTCCAGCCATCCACAGAAACGAGAAGATCACGACTACCTCGAGCCGCGACTATGCCGCTGTGACATTCCTGGTTCGCAACGGTCCGGTAAACGACTTACTCATTGAACGCGGCAAAAGGTTGCTACAGGAGCTGTTTTCTGGCTGCGACGTTGACCCTACCACCACGAGCATGGTCAGCCTCGACGATTGATCAAGACCCGGCGGACCATTCGGGCAGGAAGTTTGGATCACGAATCGCCCAGATGGATGAAGGGTATCTTTTGGGAGACAGTGATGGCACGAAGCATCATTTTTCAGAACTTTTGTACTCGGTTTATGGGCAGCGAGCGTCTACTTTCAGGGAGGGGTCGGGATCTCTGCTTCGCTGTGCTTTTCTATCGTACCAAAAGGTCTTCTGGGTAATAGAACGGAATCTTGATGGTTACCCATACCATGGTCTGATCATCCGCGCTTCCCGTCAGCATATGACCATGGTGCGTTGAATGACAATCTCGCTGTCAAAGAACGTAGCTGAGGACGAAATGTAAATTGCTGTCGTTGTATTTGCTGTCGTCGTCTCTATTTTCATGATTGCTTCTACTCAGTATTCCATGACCATACTCAGCAGAATGGGCAGGTGGCTACTTCCAGAACGAACTCGGGTCTGCGCGGAGCCTTCCTGCCTTGAACCTTGGCCGACAGTCAGCTTTGTTTTCACCGTTCCTTCCACGACACAGGACCTCCTCGCTTTCAGGCTTCGTTCAAATTCCACCGAACAACTGAAATCTCTTCTTGGACAATCATCTCAACAAGGGCTTTCCATTACTTTGGATCTCCCCACCGCAAGTCCCCCTCCTCACCGCCGTCCTCCTTCTCGTCAACAGTCTGAATTTGTCGTCGTCGCCTCTGACGCATATTCTTCCACGACTACACTAACCAGCAAGCCTCGCCATGTCTGTGGTCATCATCGTTTTTGATCATCGTCGCCGCCTCATCGGACTTCCCGACTCGTATGAGTCGCTCATCCAAAAGGCGCGTGCGGAGTTCAATCTTGGAGATGCCGACTTGCTTGTTCAATTCACGCCCCCCTTCCTGGACCAAGAGGTCGAGCTTGATCCTACTGCCTACCACGCCATCCCAAACGAAAGCATCCTCCTCTTCTCCAAGCTGCATTCACAGCAAACTGCGGACCCTGAGCCAAAGAGAAAGCGGACGAAGACTGGGAAAGCCCCTCAGCCGACTTCAAGCTTCGTCGTTCACGTCAAAACAAGTATAACCCCTGTCCTCTCTCTTCACCCGATGTCTTTGTATGTCGTACGCTCACATGGATCCATTAGTGACTGGAAAGATCACCCCCATAGAAACCAAAGTCTCAGCCACGGTTGGGGAGCTCAAAGCTCTATACTATGAATGGGAGGGCGTGCCTCCCGAGGCCCAACGACTCATCTTTCAGGGAAGTCAAATGGAAGATAATCGGACTTTAGCCTCCTACTCAGTCAAGGACAACGACTTGATTCATTTCGTTGCTAGACTTTGCGGGGGCAAGCCTGCCATTTACCTCATGTCTCCAACAAAACTCTCCTCTGTCTCCGTAGACGTCACCCTCACACAGCACTGGGGATTCTCTACTCTCTATCCGATCATCAAGCCCGCGATCGTTTCTGGCAAATCCCGCGTCACGTGGCAAGTCTCTGTATGCCCGGATGGCACGCTCGAGACTTTAGGAGCTCCAGGGACCAAGTTGCAGTGCAGCTACCTCTTTTGGGAAGCCGAGGCCTTCGCAGACGGATGCGTCGCTCCAGAACATTCAGCCGACTATCCTTTCAACCCTCAGAGCCCACACCTTTGCGTTAAGGGCTCAGCCGCGCACATATTGTCCTTCGACAACTTTCTGCCTTACCTCGACAAGGTCCTGCAGACCCTGACATTGACACCAGCCATGCGCACCGAGTTCATTGTGTACTGGTTGCCCAAGTTTATGAAAATCCGCGACAGGGGTCAAGATATTGCGTTCGACTTCGTGCCCCAATCAGACTTCCAGAAGGTTGCTCATTTGGAGATTGAGCCCCGACCTGACACGGTTGCTCGCGTCTTTCTCATCTTCCGTGGGGCATTCAAACAAACTCACGGACAGAAAACTCTGGCGGAACTAGAGGCCATTGATTGGTCTGCTAGAATCGGTATTGATGTGGCAGAAATGAAGGATGCAGGCACTTTTCGGGCTCTGGAATGGGGTGGAATGGAAGTGATCACAGTTTAGATGGTCTAGCTCTGCTCTATCACGATAGATTTCCGGTCATAGGCCAGCATGTGCTTATCTTAGCATACCACGAAGCAAATCTCTGATACTTCAAACGTACTTTGGACCATGTCCTCTCGAACCCTTTGTCGCCACTCAGCAACCCCCCAATTGATGTCCATCCACGCTCGTCAATGTGCTTGGGCCTGTGACTAGCCAAGGACGACGGTTTGCTGTGGATGTTCGGCGTGCCTCCTTCCCCCCTACCTCCCGTTCGAATCTTCGTGGTCTCGTTAATGACGGATTCGGGTTCAGAAGGCCCGTGGCGTGTACGAAGGCATTGTCGCTTGGAAACTGTAGTATGCAGACCAGTGATCTTTCCATTTCGGAGAACATGCATGGCGGCATCCAACCCGGCCTTCGTGGCCTTTGGTTTCTTGCTGACGTCGGGCGACTGTGTAGATCTGTCGATAGTCGTTGAGAAGCCACGATGAGGCGCTCGAGGCATGGCGGTAGCAGCTTCCATGCGTTCCAGGGTGTGCCTGGAGCGCAGGACGCGGCTTGGGGTGGTATGGGACTTGGCGACAGCGATGTTCTTAGTTGGACCTGCAGAACTGGACCTCCTTGTTGGCTTTTCTCCCCGACGATCCGTCCACCTTCGCAACCCGGATTCTTTCGATTGCATCTCTCGTAGGTCGCAACTCATTCTTTCGTGCCTCAATTTCCTGCATGCCTGTCATTGCAAATTCTGCCGATTTGCTGCCGATCAGGAAATACGTTGATTGTGAACTCGCGCAGGTTCAACGAGTTGCAGAAGTTGAGATAGATTCGGACGGGGGGGTTGTTCTTTTCGTAGCGGACTGCTGGAATTCTCATTATTTGGCCTTCGGCGAGGATTATGGCAGAGAAGGAGACCTCGCCGGTTTAGGGACTCTTGTCAGCCATGTTGGATATCGGAACAGAAAGGTGTATTTGCGAGAATGCTCATGGAAAACAATACTTCGCATAAGTAAGATGTGAAACAGATTTCAAGCAATTTTCAGCAGTGTTGCTAGATTTTCTAGGACGTAGGAGGCCCCCTTGCGGACTTTTCAGAGCGTCAGGAAGGTGGTGGGGGAATCTGGTCCTTCCCAAAGGGAAAAGAGGGCCGGGTGCGGTGTTGTTGGACCTGCTTCTAAGCCAAGGCCGTGCCGCTCTCTGAACTGCGTCTTGTTCATATTCAATGATAAAAACATCTGAAAAAAGCGAACAAGCGAGACATATCCTGATTGGATGAGTGAAACTTGAAGGAGCCTGTAAGACTGCGTGTTCTATCTCCGTTTATTCGGCGATGTTGAAAAGAACTAACCTGGACCATTCATTCAACCAATAACAGGATGTGCCCATCTCTGCCGAAGATATTGCAGAAAAATTCACCTAGACAAACATCCTCCATTTAGAAAGCCCGAGCAAACTAAGAGTTGAAGCGATCGCCGGAAAGGTATGCCCGTCCGCCTGCATCAAAAGATCCTCAAGAGCGACACCTATCTAACAACGGCAGGCAACATGGACACAGTCTCCCGCCAGTTCATCCAGAAATGGCGCTGCATTCCCACCGACAAACGCATCAGCGACGCCGCACTTGCTGCGCATATTGGAAAGCGTAACAGCAGGTCGTCATCTGTCGAATTATGCGAGGATCTTGAGAACGCCAGGTGGGCTCAACACATGCGACGCAAGTATGGCCCACGAGCCGAAGCCGCAGGCCTCACCGACGACCTCTACGCGGCCACATCCTACAACGATTTCACCGCCCCCGAAAACTACCGTGGTTTTCTCGAAATCTTGACATCCCATCTGAACGGCCCTAGAATGAATGCAAACGACATGGTTAAATGGGGAAAGGTGGCCCGAGAATGGATCGAGAGAGTGCTGAATTATCTTCTTAAGATCAAGGAAGGCAGATTCGTTGTGGAGGAACACGAACGGGATGTCTACCTGATGGAGGCGGGTGGAAAAGACGTTGAAGACTTGCTTTGAAACAAGGGCTTTGCTGTTACTGCTATTCAAAGGACGAGGTTTTATTTACTAAAATTTCATTATGCCGGCCCCTGCTATGCTCATCGTTCAGGTCATGGTCTCTTCTATCGTCATCTTCATCGCCCTTATTATCCGCCTGGATCGAAAAGCTCTTAAAATTGGAGTCTAAATGTCGAAGATTGTCCACAACCTAAGATCAATCCTAAAGGCGGCAAAAAGAAATGGGATCAGAGGAACAGCAAAGTCCTCAGTTTAAAAACACACTAGAACAGAGCTCACTCTTAAATTGAGGACTGGGGAGATATTGTAAGTATTCCGTTGCTGACCAAATAAAAGGTTACGATTCAGATTAATCTCCTAGGCATTTGGGACCGTCTGCTTAGTTTTGATCTGAGCGAACAATGTCGCCACCGTGACCTTTTACCACCAACCATCATCAGTATCTTGTAGGCCCTGCCCTACACGACGTATGCCCCAGGGAGCGATCTGAGCCTAGCTCTGACGTCGATAAATAGAACAACAACAGCAACAACAAAATCATCAGTATGTATCACAGTTTTCTTGGCACCACATAGACTAGTCATACGTGCAGCCATCAGCGGCTGTACTTGCCATGGTATATGTGCGGCCGGAACCCTCCATGTCCTCCAGATATCGTTTTTCAGACGGATTCATCTTCGTCTTGTGCCAAAACTGGGACCTCAAAAGCTGGACAGCACGTTTGGCATTGTCGGCTGTGAGCAGAGGAACCGTCCCAGGTTTGCGTTGGTGGATGGCCCGTACAAAAGCACCGCACAAATTCTGATCCGAATGTTCATACCAAAGCCAAGGCAATGGTATGAGCGGTTGGTGACGCAGCCATAGTTTGGTTGAAAGTGCCAACTGAGCCAGAACTGTCCTGCATGTACTTGAGGAATCTTGCCATCGAATGGGTAGCCAATCATTTTGGCCCCAATGGGTAGTCAGAAACCATTCAAGTTGGGCTTTGGTAGCTTGTTTGATGTTGAGGTCTAGCGTTGGCTCTTGTGGGCGGCAGTGAATGATTTCGTTGTTTGTGAAGTAATCGCCAAGGTCGCTGCCACCGCTGGCATAGCTGGATGGACTACACGATGCCCTTTGTTCCTGACGATCTCCCTGGCTAGCTTCATTTGAATTCAAGACCGTATCCCACCATGAAGGACTAGACGGGCTGCTTTTCTCATGATAATCGTAGTAATCATGTGCCGAGCTCGACATGTTTTCAGGGTAATGAACGTTGACAGTTACAATCTGGGGCTTTTTACTGAAGAGGGTTCGAAGGCTAGATCGGTACGTTGGTGACGCTGTGGCTGAGTCTTGGGTGCGTTGGGGAGCGAGCGAAGGCGTGAAGAATAAAACGCTTGTTGAAAGCTACGGGTGAATGGCGAGGTTTTATGAACACCAGCCGAGATCATTGGGAAATCCTCGTATTGACAAGATGCACGAATGCGAGCCCGAGTTATCAAGCTAAAATGGGCTACCTGCGATGTAATATGGAAACGAGGCTCTGGCATTGACTTCATTGGTCGATTTGTTGTCTCTTCCTCCCTGGTCAAGCGGCAATGTAGCTGAACAGAAGCAGTCAACATGTGGTACGTAATTGGACAGAACTCGAGACGAAAGAGTCTCTTTTCTCGCTTGGTTGAACGCGACTATTTCGGAGGCATCATGTCTTACAGCATTAGACCTATCGGATCCAGCTCCGCAAGCTAACTTTCAACCAGTCAGATGGCGACCAAGTCACTCCTACAGAACGAGGGACTATAGATGAGAATGTGCGTGTTTTAACATGACGAAGTGGGAAGGTTCGGCGATGGAGACCAAGTGAAAACGGCCTGCTCGCCACTTTCGGCGAGAACAGAAGATCGGCAAAAATAAGCAATTATCCTCTACCCTACCAAAGGACTGGGGGGGACCAGCCGGAGGGAATGGACAAGGTTACCCAAAATGCCACACTCACACACAAACCACCCTTGCGGGTGGTGCTTGGCTGTCGCGCTGTCCGGTATTAATCGATGGCGAGGCTTGAGACACACCGCTGAGACCTCCAACCCCCTCTCCGCTATCCGACGCTAAGACACCTGATCCGCCAAAAGAACGCCAGTAACCAGTGCGTGATGCCTTGGTTCAAAGCATAAGTAGGTGCAGCAAACTACTACCAGTTATTCCCGGCTTACATGCAGCCTGCCGTGGTAGTAATCTTATGCCCGCCGGACCTGTGAGCTGATTACCTTGTAATTCTTATCACCTTGGGATGTTTTGACGAGAGACAGCCAAGACTTCAAGTCAGGCTATTCATATGGTGACGCGTCATCAACACAATTTTACTCGTCCAAATTGTAACAGCAGTGGCATTTCCAGCACCGATGGATATGTTTGACCAAAGACAAGGCAACGCCTCAACCCTACCTATATTGGCTGTTGCCTATACGAAGCCATTTTAGCTGGTCGCGGGTCTCGATAGCCCTCGTCATCGGGGCAGGCGTCACTCAAAAGGCTATGAGCTGAGGCTGGTAATAGGTAAATATGTTCGCCGGCTACTAGCTACGCTTCTCTCCCCTGAGCTTCTTTCTGGCACTTTCTATGATGCTTTAATTACCCTTTCGCCAATCAACTCGAGTATCGCTCATATTCTAGCAGCTGAGAAGAAGGATGAGATTTGAGGGGACAAGACGCAGCAGCGTCATGGGGCAATCCTTGCTAAGGGTCATTCAAAAGGCGGTTGCTTTAGTCCGATGTTTTGGGTCTTTGATTTCAGGTAAGGGGTATACTCAGTGCACTGCGTCTACTTAACATTCGTGTCCTTAAGCTGAACCAATCATTTCTTGGCATGGCGCCCTATATTCTACCCATCTGAATGGAAATTCGCGATGTTGTTGCTTCAAATGCGACTGTTTGACATAACCAATGCGTCTAATGTAATAATCTCCGTTCTGAACGAAATGTTTGTAAGAGCACATTTGTGGGTAGTTTTGTGGGCTTGAATAATCATCGCTCGAAGGGATTAACAGGTGCAAACATGACAGAATCGAATCTCAAACAGCCGCAAAAATACAATACAAAGAGAGAAAAGAGAAAAGAGGAAGTCTGCACGGCTACAGCGACGCTTCCTAGGTAATTTTGACCCCGGCTCTATCATAGACCATTCAAGCAAAAAGCCCCTTTCAGAGGTTTGCCCGTATTTTCAGCTCCGCACTCTTTTCTGTGGTCAAAAGCAATAGTGCCCAGCACAGACATGTCGCAAAGCCCCGCTTCGTTGCCTGCGGGCTGGTTTGTGTCTCAGTCTAGTCCCTCATTAGTCTTATCTCAGCCATGAGAAGCCTGAGATTGGGGCCGCGCTCCCCACTGGAAATGAAATGTCGCTTCTCGCCCTTGTTTGGCTATGGTTCGTACTCTGATAGCCAAGATTACATATCTCAAGGGCTCAGCTACATACCACTCGGTATGCATCAGTTAGTCATTCGATCCCTGCAGTGCCAAGTTTTCACATGGATCGTTGACTCTTTTTGGGGTTCTCGATCGGCCTTGGTACTCTGTGTTGTCTTGGCCGGTCAAAGCGAGCAGATCTAAGGCATTCGATAACTGGATGGCCATTTCTATCATCGTTTCATCACCAACGTCCACATCATTTTGCAACCCATTATCATTCATCTAGTCTTAAGGTAAGGTGGGTTGCAGTCTCTACCGAAAGCCCTCTTCCAGCAAATACTCCTGCCTCCATGATTTGTTCATCTGAGTGAGGGACTTAGTTGGCCTTGCCCTTCTCAGCCCCGAATTGGATGCAGTACTCCTCCCACTCGTCACCGCCAATGTGCTTGGCAGCTGAGTTGCAGACCTGGACGTCCTTGTCCTTGACGCCCTATTGGTTCAAGTTAGCTGGAGTGTTATTCAACGTGTCTGGATGACAGTGCTCACGATCTCGCAGTCGGGGCAAATGTCCCATTGCTCATTTCCAGTGTGCCGTTGCTTGTACTGGGCGCAGGCAGCCTGCGTGGCGTCGGAGTTCTGTGATTGTTAGTTTCAACTCAAAAATCACTCAGAGGGTGCGTTCATACCTTGGGGTCGTTGTCCTGGAGACCGTCGGTGACGCACCAAGCTTGAGTGTGAAGGTTTGCAACGGCGCTTCATATTCAAGTTAGTCGCTATCCGTAACTTGGTGGCTTGTGGCTCCAAGTCCAGCGTGGTGACTCACCCAGTGGCACAGGCGACAGCAGCAAGGAAAATAGTAGAGAACTGCATTTTTGTGGTGTTGAAGGTGTTGATTAAGGAATAGAGATCTGAAAGAGAGTGAAGACTTGGGGTGAATAAACTAGTTGGGACTATTGATTGACGAATGAATGTGGGTGAGTGAGTGAGGTGAAGAAGATGCCATTAAGTTGGCGGCAAGCCTCTCTATTTATATAATCCTCCTGGTGTCTTTTTGCGGGCTATGTGAAATCATTGTTCTGTTGACTCGTGAACATCTGAATAAATTGCTTCAGCCTCCGATGCATAGCTCTTTCTCTTTCTGAACCATGAATGATTCGACTCCTAGTCGTGAAGTTCCACTGACCCACTGGACTCTCTCCATTCTACCCCCATTCCATGGCTGGAGATCTCCGGGTCGAATAAGACTCTAAAAGGGAGTCAGAACAAGGTGCTGTTGACTGAGCCTCATGTACAACTCAGGGCCAACTCGCTCGATCTGGGATACTTATGGGGTGGGCAGGGGTCCGTCGCGAACTGAGGCTGGTCCACAAGTTCGAACCCAGCTGGACGATTCTTGACCCTGGCAACGACATCTCTCCACGAAGACATAGGGCAGACGCACTCCCAGCATGCAGAGGCCCATACTGGCTGTTTATACGGCAGACATGCCTACAGTAAATCTCCTGAACCACTTCGTAACAACGATGTCTAGAGACTGTGGTGGCACGGTGGTAACATAGCCGCAATTGGTCGTACCATGTCATGAAAAGGTGGGTATGTTTGGGATGTTCGGGAATCGTGGGGTACACAGGGGTGAAGCAGTCTGCTGCCCTACCTTGGCTAGACAAGATCGAATGAGGTAGGGTTAATTCTTCTTCTTTCTCAGATCCATCACGTCTGGATCACCGTGATGAGGGCACCATGTGGACGTGCGGGTAGACATCAGCACTTTCCTTATATTATGCTCGACGGCGATGTATTTCCCTCTTTTGGTTTTATCTCCGATTCTTGTTTGTTTGTTTGTTTGTAAGGCTACTGCGGGTCAAAACCGAGAAACATCTGACCCGACTATCTGAATAGACTATATTTAGTGTAGGGGCATGCGTAGAAAGGCGCCAGAATGTCCGAATGCCGGGCAACGGCAACGAGACCCGCGGCCCCCGTCTCCGCCATTGTGGGACCCAAAGACAGGAATCACCGCCTAAAGAAGTCACTCCCGCGTCCGTGAGCTACGGCATGTGGCGCGTCAAACGGTATGTGGGATGGCGGCCCTGAAACGACAAGGCCGACTCGGTGCTTGCCGATTGTGACCCGGGAATTGAGATTACGGGTCATGCGAGAAGTTGCCGATCCCGCGTTGGCATGCCCCACAGCGGAGCCGATGACGCTACTCAGGGACAAGAACACTTCGCGCCCTTCCGCGAGATCATCAGCTGACTTGGAGTCTTCGACCTCACTCGTGGACTGGTGATAGCTTAATTAGCGGCTGGCATCAGCAACATCCCAGCACCTAGAAGAGACGAGCTACGTGCGTCTCATCGGAGAATCATTGCATTCCCATGGGGGCTCGTACAAGCACTGCTGACTCTTGCTAACTGATGAGATGGTGGAAAGCTAATTGCAATTGTTCACTGGTAAAAGAACTGTTCAAAGCTGAAGTCTCTGACGAAGGCGGCCAATTCCACCTCATAGATGCATTCCACAACAACCATGGACGGCCTTGTGCCTGACTGAGGGACATTATTCAAAGACATCTCAGGATTGTAGAGGTTTGTACACTTAAGTAAACGACCTCTCAAACCTCCACGACATCATGATCCGTTTATCCCAAGCCAAGAGGCCCGCCCTCATCCCACCATGGTCAAATCCCCTGAAGCGCTGCGCACAGCTCGACCGTCTCGACTCGGGCGAGAACTGTCACATTCACTCCGTAAGACGCTCCCTCAGCATCCTGATATGCATCCTAAGCCTCTCGTCTCCTTCCTGCAGTTCGATATCTTCTAGATCTTGGATGATAGCAGAGATCTCTGCGGCCGTGAATACGACGCTGCCGAGTAGGCCCTGGGCAGCTCCTGTCGACGTCAAAGCAGGCGAGCTGGAGCTTTGGACGGCATCGCAAAGTTCGAAGTTTGCGGTGGGAGAGGAGAGAGACGGAATCTCCGGCTCCGCCATCACGTCATAGATGTCGTAGTCCCACGGGCGTGCATCTTTTGTGGGAGTACTCTGGGAAGGAGGTTTGTCATTGAGGGACTGCTTGACGGCGGTGATTTTGCGCGGGGTCTTTGCGGAGGCCTGGAAGAGTTTTAGTGACAAGAAAATATAAAGCCAATTGAATAGTGTGCAAACCCTAGAGTCTCGCGCATGGCCAGAATGTCTTGCATAGCGGGTGGGGGTAGGTGATGCGGGCGGATCACGCAAGAAGATTGAAGATGTTGACGTGGGCGCCGTGAGAAGGGTCATGCGACGCCTCTTGCAACTCGAGGCACATTTCGAGGGACCGCCAAGCGTGACAGGGCTGGTGGCAATTTCATCCTCTGACGAGCACTCAATCAAGCCGTGATCCTTTTGCGGACTGGGCGCAGGGGTAAGTTTGGCGCTCCCGGGCGAAGTCGCATTCTCAAGAGAGACCATTATAGATGGATTTGAACTTGATGAATGGTATGAAAAGGAAAGGCAGTGATTGAGGTATCGTAACGAGCAGAAGGACTGGTTTTCTGAGGGTGGGATAGGCCTTGTGTGTTGTGGGTAGAACGAACAATTCAACTCTGGGACAATAAAGTTGTTTTTATCTCTTTTTTTTCTGCACTTGACCTTTCTTGTATACCCAGTTCAGCAAAGCAATGGTGTGGGAGCAAGAATTGGTTTCCGCACTGATGACTGAGTGTGTAGCATCAGCAGCACTTCAACTTCAGCTGGCCGAACTACCTACCGAATCAAATTCATACGAGCCTCGTTCATTATAGAACATATGGAAAGACGCCCGCGGGATCCTGCCTAGCGCTGGTTCCTCTTATTTTAACAGCCCCTCTCATGCAAATGCTCAAAAATATTTATAGTGTCACACTGCGGGCGTAAAGTGATTTCGACTCAATCTTGCGATTCGGAAGATGAACAAATTCTCGAACACAACAACATCCCCATGTAACAACGCCCAGATCACCAACTCTGCGGTCCAGCCGCCAATTAAAGACCTGCTACCATGTCCTCCTCTTACGTCTATCAAGAGTTCGCTGCCGCGCCGCCATCGTGGCCCTGAGCCACATTCTCTCTCTGAGCACGCTTCCTTCTGCTGACCAACAGAAGATCGATGTTCTTACAGTTCTTGGCGATTAGCACCGTCCTGAGCAAGCTCTGAGGAGGTTTCTTGGCACGTATCGACCGGTGTCCGCGTGACCTGGTGGTTCCATGAAGAGCTAGCGTTTGTCGTGCCTGCAGAGATAAGTCAATACCGACAGTGCTTTGATATCCCGGTTGTCAGCTGGCGCAAGCGAGGCAGCCTGCTTCTCGGGCCTCGCAGGCTTCTTAACATGTTGTTTCTTAGGAGATATCTTCCTCTTGTGGCGGATTGCGGTGATTCTTGCTTTAACGTCTTCGACGTTGGAGAAAAGATTCTGCTGCTTTGGCCTTTTCGACATCGTCCTCCCACTTCTCCGTCCACTTCCCGAAGACACTGTCGCTGGTCTCCTTCATAGCGGCGTTGTGACTTGCGAGACTTTGGTTGGATCGTTCGAAATCGGTAGGGTCGGATACAGGTAGCGATAGCCCGTGCTAGTTGTGGGGAACTTATGGGAAGGAACTTAGGAAGTCCACGAGTTCCGACGTATTTGGAAGGAACGCAAAAGATGGGTTAAGGTATTTGTTATGCGGCAACTGCTCGTATGCATGAGTTGCAATGCTCAGGAAGGAGTCGAAAAAATTCGAAGAGGAAAATGGATGAGGTTTGAAATTTGAGAGGGCAACATCTTGAGATGGTCCGTTACGCGTCCCGCTGGTCGTTTGACGGGGAGATGGGAATAGCTTCAGCACAGTAAAAATATTATACTGTGCACTGTGCAAATATCCCTGGATCTAGTGACTTTGCTGCAGATCTTGAGACTGCCTGATGAGCGGCGGAGGGTGCCTGTGTAGGCACCGTAATCTTTAGAATCCATCACCTTGACCCACAGTGCTAGAGGAGGCAAGTGACAATGCACTAAAGCGCAGATCAGGAAAGAGAAAGAAGCTTGCTTGGAGAGGAAGGAGCGACTTGTATCGTGTCCTCGCTCCTGCCCCCAGTTTGGCATTGCCTTCAGGTACTTCACTGAATCACGTCACTCACGTCACCGACCTCACTCCAGGTCGCTCGCAAAAGTCTCGCTCAGATTCCACTTCCATCATTTTACAAATCCGTCAACATCAGGAAGGCAAGCTGGAAAACAACCGGCGGCAGATATGCCAACGACAACATCATCCCTAAACAGCATCCTCACTCGGAAAACGTCAACATGGTCCGTCACATCACCGCTTGCGACTCCTGTGATGACGACTTTGTCTTGATCTCATATCGAGACCACGAGAATTCCTTCCGGCAGAAGTTTCAATGCCCGGGAACGTGAGAAAATATCTCAATCTATCCGTCTCTCCGAACTTTTCTGATGATAGTCAGGTCCAACTACGCATATCCGTCCCTCGACCCAGATAAGAGCGACTTCAACAATCACCAATACAACAGCGCAGAAGGCAACACTGTCAGTCCCTTCGCAAAGGCAATTCAGCTATCCAAGGCTCTGAACAAGAACAGCATCACAGCACTCGCTCACCCTGCACTGACCGTCACTCAATTCCTCCAAGTTGTCTCGAGCATGGCTTGCAAAATGCGTTACGGCAACAAAGACAAGGACATCTTTGATGATGATGAAACAGACTACGATAGTATCTTTGAGCCAGATCCTTTAGTTCGAGGCCATTCTGGTCTCCGCGGCTTGTACTTGCGCCAGAGGAAGCCACTGGACCCCGCGTGCGACAACGGAGATGTCACTGGCCCAATGGTCACCCCACAAACCCCGACGCAAAGCAAGTTCAAGCAGACAATGAGGAAAATGAAGGACTTTGGATTAAGAAGATCTCAATACTAAGTGCCGCACAGCATTCAGTCCATTCTCGATTGAGATCTGGCAGAAGACGTCGGCTTGGTCAGAGGGTTAAGGGATTCTGCTAAGGGCACCTAGATTGATAGTTTCACTGGACATTGGGAGCTGGAGGCACTTTTTACATTCAACAGAGAAATTTGGACCGAATGAGTTGTCTCTCGGAGGCTGGTTGCATCACTGAAAATGCAGAAGTCGCTATAATTTAGTTTCTCCCAAGTTCTAGATGATTCATCAATGGTCATTGATTGACACTGAACCTCCCTTTTGAGCCCCATTTTGAAACCGCCAGTGACCTATTTTGCAAAGAAATTCACAGCTGAAGCATCCCCATTGCCGAGATAAAACACCAAACCGATTTCACCTTCATCACCTGGAGCTGCATCTGGAAGCTTCCATCCCACGGATCCAAGACTACTCCCACCACATCCTTGAGTATAGCTTATTAACACATTTCCAGAGCGTCTGTTGAAAGCAACGACTTCTTTGCGTTCTTTGGCCGCTCTTGTCCGCAGCAGGTCGCAAACCTCTCGGAGATGTCGCTCCACCCGAGTCGAGGTTCCAAACATGGTCTTGTGTAGACGTGTCAGTTACCAGCACATTCAGACTTTGAAACATGCGAGAGGAGGGTACAATCGTACCTCATCGGCTACCATAGCCATTCGTGTTGTTATGACGTGGTCAGTAAATGACTCCGAGTGCTCAATCTCACGCAGACACCTTCGCTTGTAATGCAGCGCTTGATGTGTGAATCCTGACTTCCAGCCCGGAGCGCGGTCAGCTATATACCGACAGGTCAAGAGAAACAAGCTATCGAGCATGCCGCTGTCCCACAGCGCCGTTTGAACCCAGTACATAGTGACGCAATGCCAGAACCTATCGAGATCTGATATATACGACATCTTTGGATCCGGAAGGTATGACATGGCTTTCAGCACTCGGTGCTGAACGACTAGACAGTAAGGTTAGAGGAAATAAGCCCAGATCCATCCTGAAACTGCCACTTACAAACCCTGATCAGCTTATCCTCATTTGGAGCCAGTGATCTAAGAAACGAATCGAAAGGGTCGAATTCCTTCGGCCACAGTATGGATTGAAAATATTGTTGGGGTATGGGCCCTCGTTGCTTGACCAGGGTCATCGAATGTGGCTTTTTGTCATCCGAGCTGTCACTCTCGGGACGAGGATGGTGACGCTTGACGGACTTCTGCCGACGAGCATGGACGGTCCGAGCTGCGTGGGAACGGATCGTGGTAGCGCATGCTGTTATCTCTCCAGGATGAGAAAGAGATACAAAGACAAGGTTATTGGCTAGGTTCGCTGACGCCGCATCCTCGCTTCCAAGGGCAGGCATGGTGGAGATCTGGCACAGCTCACAACTCGCTGCTCACTGTGTGAGTTGGTGTCAGCGTTTGGCGTTCTGGGCAGACGAGCGCAGGAAGGGATGTCAAGTGGTAGGTTGTTGTTCGTCGGACCGGGCAATCTTATCCACCCGTTCAGCCGACTTATTAGTTGGGGCTCAGCTTTCAATAACCAATGGGCAGGCCTTTGATTGTTCAGTTGTCAGGGAAAGCCAACCTGTTTCTATATCCGGACTCCAGGAAGGGGTGACTGTGCCGCTCTGCGACATCCTGGTCTTCTCAGATTTCTGTTGGTTGGCGGTTAAAGCGGACATATCCCTGCACTAGCTGCATACAAATCATAACAGGAAGTCGCTCTGAGCAATCAAAACGCCGTGTTACCCTCAATATAGCAGATGGACCTATCTGCGATCAGTGTCAAGGTTCTGGGTGGTTTCGCGACATGTCCAGGCGCCAAACGAAAATTTTCAGTCAGGTATTAGCGTCGGTCATTGGACACGCCACCTCTTTGTAGTTTTGTCCGGGGGTTTGAGGTAAAGAACATCAGCATCTTTGTGCCCGCTGGACTGCGTTCGGGACAAGAACAGATCCGGAACAGCGGAATGAGCAAAGTTACGAAGACGCCACGGTAAGCAATGTCGAAGTGGCAACAGAGCAAATGATCCACGAGAAATATCAAATGAATTGATTAGAGCAGTCGGCAGGTCTGCATAAAGAAGCGAGTTGCGTGATTTAGCGGCACCAAATGTGACCGTCTTCTAATTTCCTGAGCCTTGACATTCATCGATGATCGCAAATTCCATGGAAGCTCCACGACATTATAAACCACCAGCTAACCAGTTGCGCATGATCCCTACTTCATTGAAAGAGGTCAATGGGAGTTCTGTGTTGATCACTGATCAGCGACTGAACTTGAAGTCGATGATTAGGCATTTACTTACGGTGAAAGGATGCATGAATCAGTCCATCTCAAAGAGATATCTTTCCTCGCAGTCTTCGCATAGCTCCAATGACGTAATGCGCCTGCTGGCGTTGCAATTGGCGTACTGGTTGACGAGCGAGCACACCCGACGCATGTTTATCTCGTCATTGAGCGTGGGCTGTTCCCACGGTCGGCGAGCATGTTGTACTACGAGCTGGATGATGCTCTGTGTCCCCCCGGGTGCATGCCACAAGGAAGTATGTCTCCGTTGAAGCTGGTGAAGCGCGCACGTTGGACAGCCCTTGTGGTCGGGGATGAACGAAGTCACGGCGGGCGCCGATGTGGATGCCGGCAGCGGTGACGGAGCGAGACCACCTCCAGTCGCTGGCGAGTCCGGCACCGGTACCGGAACCGGAACTACGAGCGACCGAGGGGCATCGGGGCTGGAGCCCGGGCCGTGGCGGGAGACGGGCCGGTTGGGTGAGCACTTGAGGTCGTGCAGCGGGGTCGCGGCGTTAGCTTCAGACGGTGTGAAACTGTCCCTTCTCTTGGTCTGTCCGCGAGTGGAAAGCTGCTCGTTCTCTAAGCGTCCCATTAGAGTCAATGGCCGGAACCTGCTGCAAAGGCAAAGCAAACGACTGCAGGAAAAAGTTCTGGAGGTTGAGAGCACATTGCCCCTGAGTGCAGTTGGGTCCACAAGTAATCTCGCTTGTAAGCATCCGTCTTCATTCTTGACCCACCCCGTTTCCCTCCGTGAGAGCCGAGTAGGGATTGTCCCTGGGTTTTGGCCAACGATTCAAGTCCGATTGCCAACAGTGACTGAAAAGTACGCATACTAGGAGGATGCCGCAATAGCTTTCAATTTGTATTGAAAACTACCTGTTGATATGCTCTTCCTTTCTTTATTTGGTTTTCATATGTTATTTTTCTCCATTCGGCGAAAACACTCAATACTGGTTTTCAAGTTCAAGACTGTGAATAATGAACAACGATGGTGTGGTCTGTCCGCATTCCCTCGTCCTGGCAAACGCCGTTCATCCCGATTCGAGTCTCTGATTGAGAGGCACACAGTCTAGCGCAGGCTCGCGGGAAGAAGAGACTCTTTGGCGTGTCCTGGATTTATTCCCACTATACTTCAAGAAGAGTGGGGTGAACATGGACCGCGGATATCTCCAGGTACACGACCTATGCGAGTTGAGTGAGCTTTCTAGAATGGCATGAGGCTTGTTGAGTACCAACTTACTTGGGAAGTCCGAAAGGCACTCGCCAGACCCGACTCACTCTCATGTCGTCCAAGCGCATATCTCAACAACAGATCATGCATGCCGATCATCCAGTAATACCTTTCGCGACCTCAAAATCTCTTCGTATATTACGAGCTGCCTTTGGCAAGCATCCTCATAAAATTGTGGATGATTTCTCTCAGTACTTGAACGAAACAACAATGCAAAGACCAAATTATGGATGGGTAGTCACGGGCTATGGAGTAACTCATCCCCGGAGTCGAACATCCGAAACAGCCTGCATCACAACGACAAGACTGTCTGAGAGAAGCCAGTCTGAGAGAAGCCAGGTCACGACAGTGGAGCGCCTTGGCGAAGAAGTACGATTGCGAGATTCCAGGAATGAATAATTAGACTTGCCTTTTTTGTTCCGAAGCCTGGGCCCCAAGATCTGGAACAGGGATATGTAGGACGGTCCAGCGTACGTCCCGCGCTCTTAAAAGCCGGCCAGGATTCGGATCGGCTCAGTTATGGGGCAAGGCGCTTCAGAAAGCCCCAATCTCGGGTGTCTCGTCCGACCTGGCGGTCCGGAAGCCCGGTGGATCGATCGGCGGGCGATCGCGCACTAGCCTTGGTGCTGAAAGTGCTGCGAGGCAATTGACCAAGGATGCGTGGGCGCAGTGCACAATAGTACCTTAATCTAGGCAAGCATTGCAATAGATTGAACAGGAAAAACGAGTGAAACATTGTTTTCATCCTCACGTCCCCGAAGCGAGCAAACGACTGAGGTACGGTACCTACGGTAATGCGGGAGGGTAAGGTACCTACCTCCCTCCGTAAGTGTCCCGTCTGCAGCGACTCCGAGTCGGCCCCCACGCAGCCGAGCCAATCAGTGTGGCCCGGACTGTCGCGCTATGGCACCTTATCATGGCTCAACGTCACCTGCCCTTTTCGTCCATTGTTGCGCCCACGAGCTTCATCTCCGCCGGTGCCGGACAGCCGCCGTGTGTATCACGCGAACGCGACGCCCTCATAAACCCCGCGCGTCCATGGTTCTCAATTGCGCCAAGAGTCGAGCCACTGGATTCCCACACCATCTTCACTCTCGCTCACCATGTCATGCGCAGGGAGCCGTCTGCTGAGGGCCCTTGTGGTCGGATTCGCGACGGCGGCATCAGTCTACGGCACCGTTCTGCAGGCCCAGCCCGCATCGCAGCATGAAGCCAGATTCATCGGTTCCCCAACCCCCGCCAAAGAGAATCGTTTGGCCAGAATGGGGAGGCTTGCATACGAAATGGATACCGCTGCCGCTTCCGCTTCCGCTCCCGCCCTTGCACCGGCCACGACGCCCCTGCTGGAGTGCTTCCAGGTTGCCCAACCTGTTCTTCATGCCGAAGGCGAATCTGTCACCATAACTCTGATGGATCACCAGTTCGCCAACAGCTACGGCTCCCCATTCGTGGGCGACTACACGCCCCCTGACATTGAGTTCGACCGCGTCGTCATCAACTTCACTGTCGAAGTCAAGGGTCGCCAATTCGACCGATGGGGCACCGTGTATCTAGACAATGTCAACATTTTTTCGACTTCCACCGCCGAGCCCACCCAAAACGGCATTACCTGGACTTGGCGGAAGGACGTCACCCCGTATCTCTCGCTATGGAGGGAACCCCAGACGCTGATTTTCCAGCTCGACAACGTCATCACCGACATCTACACTGGCTTGTTGAACTCTACCCTCACCGCAACATTTTTCAAAGCCGACTTGGAAACCGAGCAACCACCCGCAGACTTAATTTTGCCGGTATCCGCCGCGAAGAGCCCTGTCACCGCAAGCTTTTGGACGTATCCCGAAGAGAATGCCAGCGTCGCCCTGAATTTTCCCAGAAATGTGAACAGAGCTGTGTTTTCGGCAAACGTGAAAGCTCAAGGCAATGACGAGTTTTGGTGGAGCAACGTACCACAATCTGCCGTTAATGCATTCGAGCCAGACGTTGGCACGTACCCGGGATACTCGCCGTTTCGAGAAGTGCAGATCCTGATTGACGGAATGCTAGCAGGTGTTTACTGGCCGTACCCAACCATTTTCACCGGTGGTGTTGTGCCGCAATTACACAGGCCCATTGTCGGCATCGATGCGTTTGACTTACGGGACCACGAGATCGACATCAGTCCCTGGTTACCGCTGCTATGTGACGGAAAAGAGCACACTTTTGGCATACAGGTTGTGGGGCTCAATGATGACGGGAAAACGGCAACCTTGTCCAACACCACAGAAAGCAGCTGGTATCTCGTCGGCAAGGTCTTCTTGTGGCTCGATGACGAAGGAAGCATAACAACAGGCGTTCTAGGTAAAGCTATTACAGAACCAACGATCGGCTTTCAGCAGAGCCTGAGCCAGAATGCAACCGGCTTCAATCGGACCTTGGATTACACGATTTCCGTCAAGAGAGATTTTGAAATCTCTTCCGCACTGAAAACTCAGAAAGGAAACATCACGGCCACATGGTCTCAAAGCTTAGAATATTCTAATGCGGGTGGATTGTACTTGAATGGTTACGGCGGTATCAATACTTTTTTAATCACCGGGAAAGAAGCGGCAAAGTTGACGGGACGGCAATATGAGACGAGCTTCTCATACCCGCTATTTTGTAACACAACGACGCAGTATCTCCCGGCGGGCAACCTAACCCTATGGGCCCGGCTTGACCAAGGCCTCAAGATCGAGATGAGCGGAGATGGAGTCTTTCCCACTGGTGCCGAGGCTTTCAAAGGCGCTTGGGTCGGAAGTGTCCTGGAAACAGAGAGAAATGGAACTGCCAACTACTCCCGGTATGGTGATAATACTGTCACCACCGGGGTTGGGCAGACCAGGCAGCTTTTCGGCTTTAGTGGCTTGGATGGGAAGACTATGAAAGAGCTGTACTTCAGAGATGTGAGCGCATTCAACAATACTGTGACAGCAAACCATGAAGTAGTCTACACGTAGCTCATAGAAGGCGATTGGGCCCCTCACTATCTACTTACGATTATACCATTACGTACTTGTCGCTCACACCGTTCTTCGTGTTGGTATGAGGGCCAAGGTGCCAGAGTCCGCGAAGACCAAACATGGTCTGAATCTCTCTTAAGAACCACAAGCGTTAAGCCGCAGCTATCGCAACTGCGACCGGAGTATGGGAGCCTGATAGTCACCATCTCTTCGTCTCTTGGAGGGTTTCGAGCGCCAGAAAGCGTCGTTTTCATCGCCATCCTCGACCCCTTGGGTGCTCTTCCCGGGCGACTTTGCAGGGTTCTTGTTGTTCCTGTCGTAGACCTAGACGTCAGGTTGCGATATGTATTTGCGGCGACCGCCTGACCGGCACTAATAGTAGAACACGGCTGTCGCAGTTACCTGCAGGGCGACTTCCCGCTCCCAAATTGTCGCGTCATCGGGATGGAGGACTTCAAACTTGGTTTGGTCGGGTCTGATGCTTGACTTGGTCTTGAGACGGCGATGGGACTTGGTCTTCATCACACCCGGTGGTGCGCTTTGCAGAGCACAGTCGGCGCCTTCTCGAGAGATATGGTTAGCAATTCACGCAAACATTAAAATAAAGCATGGAGAAAAGTAATCTTTGTTAGGTGAGGTGTTGCCAATTGGGCTGTGCATGTTGGCGGCTCCTGAGGGGGAAAGACGTTGGGAGCAACAGAATGGTTGCAATCGAAAAGAAGCGCGTCGCATTCATCTCAGAACAGATGGACAGAGTTATTAGGGACTCGATGACTGACAGAAATATGAATACTTCGAGCAGGCAAAAACAAAGAGGACGCAGAGGACGCGGCCACCGGCTCGGCCATGCAAGGCTCTTTTGTTTGCGGATGCAGGCTTTTTTTTTAAAAAAAAAAAAAAAAAAAATCCTGCTAGACTGCCTGATGCCGCCACCTTGGCACTGAGGACGGCCATTTGCCGCCCTGCGGAATACACAAGGCATTCTGTAGCTGAGAGTCAAGGCTTGCTGTCGGTCGTGTCCAAGAGAGAGTTAAGCAACTGACACGAAGCTCCCCAATCTACTGGAACCAGATGCGTGTGGTACTGCGTAGGTCCACGGGCGGCCGCACCTGAATCCAAAATTGCTGGGTCACCATACTACCTGTCTTCTTTCGGGACTTGTCGGCTGTGCGGCAAAGTACTGAAGAAGATGGGAAAATTCGATATGTATTACTTGCTCTTAAAATGCACGCTACACAATGTGTCCCTCGCAATCCTGGCTCCAAGCACAAAAAGCAATGGTCCTCCCAGCCCTGCCACTCCCATGGATGGTCAAACAGCCTCACTAATGGCTGTTCTCTGTCTTCTTGTCGTCACTCCCCGGGCCAGTCTCGGAGTTTG